TTCTTCCTGCAGTACCATCAGTGCTTGATTATGTGCTACCTCCTGACACGGTGGATCAATCCTTTATGGGTCAATGACTGTATTCCTTCCATCTTCTTTTGATGCTTCCTTGTATTTGTCAACATTTTACCCACAGGACTTCCAATAGTACAACTCAGGGCTTGAATTTTTCCTTCAGTTCTTCTAGCTTGAGAAATGATAAGCATGTTCTTCCCTTTTGATTTTCTAACTCTAGGTCTTTGCCCATTTCATTAAAAATACTGTTCAGCTCTTTTACTTCATTTCATCCACTTAACTTTAGCTACTCTCTGCTCAAGTTTCAGAGTCTCTTCTGTCATCTATTTTAGTCTTTGCTTTCTTTCCTTTTAATGACATTTTGCTTTCTTCATGTACAATGTCCTTGATGCCATCCCACAACTCCTCAGGTCTTCGGTCGTTGGTGTTCAATGGATCAAATTGGTTTCTGAGATGGTCTCTCAACTCAGGTGGGATATACTCAACGTTGTACCTTGGCTCACGTGGACGCGTTTTAACTGTCTTCAGCTTCAACTTGAATTTGTGTATGAGCCATTGGTGATCTGTTCCACAGTCAGCTCCTGGTTTTGCTCTGGCTGATGATACTGACCGTCTCTATGGCCTATGTTCACAGATGTATTTGGCTCCTGTGTATTCCATCCAGTGGGGTCTAGCTGCAGTCATCGTCCATGTTTTTGAAAAAAGGTATTTTCAACGAGTAAGTCACTGCTCTTGCAAAGTTCCACCATGCAATCTCCAGTGTTGTTTCTGTCATCAAGACCTTATTTTCTAGCTACTGATCCTTCTCAGTTTCTGACTTTTGTATTCCAATCACCAGTAATTTTATCAATGCATCCTGATTGCAGGTTTGGTAGATTTCAGACTACGGAACTTGGTAAAAAGCTTCAACTTCTTCATTTTTGGCATTAGTGGTTGCTGTGTCAATTTGAGTAATAGCTTTATTAGCTGGTCGTCTTTGCAATAATATTCTGTTGTAATGCAGGACAGATTTTAAAACATTTCTCTTCAGTTTGTCATTCCCAGCATAGCAGACCATATGATTGTCAAAATAGTCAATGCTAGTCCATTTCAGCTCACTCCATTTCGTTTTTGAAGACTTCCAATTTTCCTGAGTCTTACTTTGTGCAGCCCACCTTCTGATCATTAATGGGTGTTTCTATCTTCTCATCTTGAGTGGTACCACATCAGCAAATGAAGGTCCAGAAAACTTGACTGCATCCACGTGATTAAGGTCAGTTTTACTTTGCGGAGGCAACTCTTCCCCAGTTGTATTTTGAGTGTCTTCCAACCTGAGAGGCTCACCTTCCAGCCCTCTATCAGACAATGTTCCACTCCTAGTCCTAAGGCTTCCATTGGCCGATTTTTCTCTGATGTACGTCACCAGGTCCTCCTGCCTCGTCTGCAAGCTCTGCTGAGCCCTGTCCATCACGGGTAACCGTGTTAGCATGTCAATACCATGGCGTAGCTTCCAGCATCACAGCCCCAAGCAAGCCACCGCAGTACAACAAAGTGATAGATAAGTGATGGGAATATGTGCTTGGGGCTGGAAAAGGCCCAAGGCAGATGCCAAGAAGTGTTCCCACCATCAATGATGACAAATCACCAGCGTGGGACTCAGCTTTAGAGTGAGTACAAATTCCCATCACTGCTGTTCAGCAATTTAACCCCAGGACACATACACTTAAAGCTGTCAGACGTTTCCAGATATCAAAATTTAGATTTTAAAAAACAAATTTCTCAAGGATGACAGAGAAAATGTTAAAAACAGAGACTAACTCCTAAGAGCTGGCAGAGACGAAACCCCATAGCCAGGGTGGCAGATTGTGGGTGTTCATGTTCATGTTCTTGATGCCTGACATGTCACACATGTTATCCTGTATTATAAAATATCTCATAAAGAAATCTCACACAAACCTGCTTTGTAAAACTGCACCCAAATCACATTAACAAGTTTAAGAAACAACAAGGAAATCAGATCCCATTTTTTAAAAAACCACGACCATCTGAACGAGGAAGTTAACTGTGAGAAGCAGCAGCAGCAGATGGAAGAAACCTGTGCTGGGACCCAGCAGCCTGACATGAAAGGCAGCGGCGTCACGAGGTGAGGTGAGCTCTGTTTCTCAACGAGAGGCCCTGGGCAGCCCCCAACCCCCACCATGCCCACCTTCACAAAGCAGCGGTGGGCCGAGCCAACACTGACTGCAGCCCAGGACGGAGCGGCCACGGCTGCTTTCTGAAGATGCCACCAGAACAAGCAGCTGAGACCAGGTCTAGGCTGATCACACCGCTGTGATCAAAGTGTGGTGTGTGTCCAATCTGTCACAGTCAGTCAATTTCTGCTCCTCAAACATCTACCCATCCAACTAGGTCTGGGCAAGGTGGAAGCCATCTGGCAGAGTCCTGACTGACCAATGCCACAAGGGCACCACCAGTCCTCCCGGAAGCTGGAACGCTAACATACATCCAGATCTGTGGCCTCCACATCATTACCAAGCCTTTCTGTATTTGTTTCCTCGTTCACAGCACAGGACCCCAGTGCTAGAAACTGTCACGTGCCCATCTGTGATAATTAAGGTCATGAGTCACCTTGGCTGGGCCTGGTTTGAGTGGCTGGGCAGCTGGATGTAGTGACCCCATAATAAGACTGATAATCAACTCCATGGTGGAGTCTGCAGTGAGCAGCTGACCGGCTGCCTTACGGATGTGGTCTGCTTCCAGTAACAGAAAGAGAAGCGCTGAGAAAGGTCTCTTGAACGTTCTGGCAGCCCTGGATCCTGCATTTAGTGGCATCTTCTTTCAGCAGCCTGCCATGTTGCTGCCGATCTTGGGACTATTTCTGGACCTGAACCAGTGGCCTGCTGTGTTACCTGATCATCTTGGGACTGTGTCACTTTACTTACTGACCTCAGGTTAGTCAGCCTCAGCAGCCAGCAGCTGTTAAGACATGCCTCCAGCTCCAGTGAGCCGGAGTGGAAGCCCAGGGTTGAGGGGCCTTCACCCAACCCCCAGAGTTAGGACTTTGAACTTGGACTTCCAGTCTCCTAAACTCTAAGAGAGTAAATCCCTATTTGTGAAAATCACCCATTTGTGGTATTTTCTGTTAGAGCAGCACTAAAGAACCCAAGCACCACTGCAGACAGAAGGCAGCAAAAGCCGTGGGCACCAGGGGCCTGCTCTGAGCAACCCTGACCCTCATGTTTCCTTGGTAAATGCTGACCCCTCAAGCCCTCGGACCGGGCTGGGCTGTCCTGGCTGGCCAGGCGGCTTGGAAGGCAGCACTGCCTGTCCATACAGGGCATTCCCCAGACAGGTCCCAGCCCACAGCATGCTCTGACAACGGCTCTGAGATGCTTCTCCAATGCAGCGTGAGAACCCAATCAGTCAAGACCGCCACCACTACTGGGCTCTCCCATCAGAAAAGAACAACAGCCAGAGAAGCTGGTGGGCCCTTCCAGAAAACAGGACAACCAACACACCCATGTGAGTGAGGCGTGCTGCAGAGGGCTGCGCTCCAGCAAAACTGGCTCTCTGGGCACCCTGGACTCCTGCCACCCACGCCTGCTGGTCCCGAGCTATCTCAAGTAGCACGGGCTCATGGAGCATCCTGAGAGCATCCTGGCCAGTCTGCTTTGACAGAAATCCTCGTAGTACACAGTGTAAGACAAGCCTGAGTGCCCAGGGGACAGGCAGATGTGGCCAGGCGCTCCAGGCTTAGGCAGGAGAAAGCCCTTCTGGGATCATGCTGGGTTTCCAGGGTCCTATAAAAAGACCACAGGCAAGGTCCCAAGAGCGAGCAGTTCCCTCTGGGGGGAGGTCTGGAGACATGAGGTGTCCACATGCAGGCAGTGCAGACGGCCTCCCCCGCTCAGGCCCTATGCTGGGCATGAGGCGACTGCTGCTCTTCCTCTGCCTTAGTGCCTTCAGCATGCAGGTTCTCACAACAATATCGCTCCTTAAAATAACAGGGTCACTCCATCAAGATCCTCCCTCTACCATGAAGGCCACACCCCACGCCACATCCCTCTCCTTGTCACCACCCTCAGAAGCCAAGCAAACAGTCCCTAACTCCCGAGGCCACAGAGGCTGGCTCCTCTGCTGAGCTCTCCCTGGGGCCACAGGAGCTGAGAACCCCTTGTGCTGGCTGAGGGCCAGGGCCCCTTCCAGTCAAACAGGCTGTGCGTGCGGCTCACATGCAGAATGTTTTTCCCGCTGCCCAGATCCCATTTCCTTCATCCAGGAAAAATGCTGAACAGCCAAATCCAATCTCCCCTTTCCAGGCAAAGGGGTCATTGAAGGCTCTGAAGACAAGCTTTCCTCCCGTCACGTACTGAGACAGGCCATACTCCACCCCAATGCAGGAGACTTTGCAAGGCACCACTGGGGCTCAAGGGGTGTCCAACGCTCCAGTCACTGTCAGATTTAAGGCCCTCCCCCCAGAAAGCATGGTGATCAGGCGGCAGCCAGGCCGCAGGTGTTCAACGGCAAGCAGGCCCAGGTACTGCCTTCATGAGGCACGGTGCTGCGAGGGCCAAGACCCCAACAACAGTCTCCTCTGCTCCACAAGCCCAATGACTGTCTAGCAGCAGGCACATGAGGCCCTAACAAGAGAGCATCTCACCGAGCAAGGGCATCATCGAGTGGAGAGAGTTCAAGGCCACATGGTCTGACCCCTCAGGCAGCAAGAGAGCACGTGGCTGCATTCATGTGGCAGGAAGGCTTCCCTGGTAGGACACCCCTGGGGCCCCCAGGTGACCAGCATGATGACATGCACAAGTGACACCAAGAGCATGTGTCTGTCTTCCCTAAAATTCACACGAAGCCTTGACTCCAAAGACATTACTACTCAGCAGCTAAAGAGGGAGAAGAGAGCACAGTGTGTAAGTTACCTGTCCTGGGGCCTAAGACTGCCTCTCAAGGAAAGCACCGACCGCCCAGAGTACTGCAGCCCTGACTGTGAAGCTCACCTCCCCCCTGCATCATCTTGTAGATCTTGCTCTCGATGTGGAGCTGAGGGTGCTTGGTTTTGACACATTCAAGCTTGATGGCAACTTCTTCTCCCGCAGCAATGTCCGTACCTGGGGAAAGAGGATGACAGCCAGTCACACACCCGATGGCCTGGTGTCTGCCACAGGACCCCACGTTCCAGTGCACCAGAGGTAAAAGCATGGCTTGACTTTCCCAACATGCAAACGACCACTTCCGAAAAGCTATCGCCTGTTCACGTGTAAGCCACACGCATTAGCAACAGCAGCTGACGGAGATGCGCGGTCTCTCTCTCTTATCCCATATCCGCAGGCCCAGTGCCAAGAACACCAATGGCTTGTGGTTGAGTTCCAGGGTGGCACTACCTTCCTGTGTCTGCGCAGATGTACCTTCTCTAGAAGGCAGCTGTCTGTCTCAGCCACCCTCACCATCTTCTGTCTGTCCTGTATGTCTCAGAGAGGTTCAGTTCTCACAAGGTGGCAGGGTCATCACTAGCCCGCCACAAGCCTGGTAAGGCCTGACCAGCAAGGCTCAGCACATCTGCCCTCCCAGAAGCCAAACGTCACCACGGACTTCTCACCCATGCTGGACCAGGGGGACAGACTGCTTCCCGAGCCTCCAACAGTGCCACCAGGTCAGCCTGAGTTTGTACACGTCTCTCCTGCTGGCACTGCCTCCCTGTTATCAGCCCGTGAGTCTGGGAGTGGAATTACATTTTTTACCTGAAGGTGTCCTATCTCTGCTGTACTCTGATGATGGACCAAAAGCCTGCCACCCACCCCAATTACAAACATTCCGAACTGAGCCAAAGCTCTGTCCCTAGGCCTTGGGTCCGTCTGCTGTGCGGGAGCATCTCTGCCTCAGGTAAGAGAACAGGAAGGAGGCTCGTCAGCAGACCCCCTGCCACTTCCTCTCACAGGTCACTTCCTTCGGGCTCACTCAGCAGTCTGGGCAAAAGGCAGGACATCTTCCCAGACTCACCGGGCAGCCTAGCAGCCTGTCCAAGATGCCTTGGTCTCTCCTGCCACCCAGAGTCAACCAGGGCCATGAAGCCTTGTGCTGATGGAGGGGGATTACTTACAAAGCCCCTGGGGATCACAGGTAACAGCCACTGGATTAGGTCAGCAAGCTTTAGGGCAACAAGGTGACCTCCAGGCAAAACTACTGCCCGTCCAATGAATGCTGAGAACCACAGAGACAGAGTGCCCGGAAGACGCAGCCTGCTTCTGGCAAGCCAGGTTCTGAGACCGTCAAATCCACTGAACGGTAGTGCCAGTCTGTGGGACCACCATCAGTGATCACCATGGCAACCAGGCTCAACTGAGGGCTCCGCTTTCCACCCCAAGGACTCTGAGCACTCAGAAGACAGGCAGGTCCTGCTTCGTCCCTCTGGCCCGCAGCTGGACAGTTTACTCAATTACAGGAGACCTCATCCAGACACGTACGTGCCACTGAAAATGAACCCCCAGAGTGCTGGTGAGCATCAGCCTGGACGGGAACCAGTGACACGTCGCACCCTAACGCCAGAATCCCGGCACTGCTGGGCAAGAGCCGCCAGCCCCCGGCAAAGCACTCTGCCCTTCCTTGGTAGCTGGCAGGTTCTTCAGTGACCTAGCAGCCCTGGGCCACCCAGGACCCGCACCTGCCAGGAGGAGGAGGGTGCTGCTAACTCCGCCTTTCTGTGGCTGATACAGTTCCTGTCGACAGCCGCCCTGCAAGGCTGACACGGTGGAGCACACCCTATACAGAGCCCCAGACACTGTACACCGTGCCCCGTGCGGCTATTACATTAAGGGCGTCCCAAGTTTGAAGACCAGCTAAGGAGCAGAGACTGAAGAAGGCCCCACCCAACACAGGTATAGCAAGTGCCACACTACCTCCTCTGGAAACCTGGGTCCCAAGGCAGATGCCAAGCCGTGGAGCCACACCTCGCTCCCTGGGCCCCAGCCATCCTGGCACCCCCTTGCAAGGCAGAGACCCATGGCGCCACGACTGGCGGAACCTCACGCCCTCTGCTGTCAGAGCTGCTCCGAGGACAGCGCTCAGAGGGAAGGCGCAGGCCTTCAGAGGGAAGGCGCTGGGGGAGCACTGCGACCCTGACAGCACCGTGACACCACTGCACATCTCCGGCTCATCTTAGGAAAAACCCTGGCCTGCCACAGAACAGGCGTTACAAAAAGCAGTTCTCCAGCACAGGCAAGTCTTCCTCCGTGACAAACAAGTACCTCCGAGAGAAGGCTCCACTCCAGGTCCCAGATTGAGAACAGGGCAAGACAAGTAACAAGCCGATGTTGGTCCAGGTAGTGGCCATCCAGACACACCAGCCTCCCTGCACACCACCAGCAGGCCGACGGGCTGCCCTCAGCAGGCATGGACACTTCTCTAGGTTTACACACAGCTTAACGTCAGTCCCAGGAGAACCAAATCAGGTCCTTCCAAGTTGTGCAGACCAGCCGGATGGGGAGCCGGGCCTGAAGCCTGAGCAGCCCCTGGTGCTGCAGACAGTCAATGAGCTCAGCTACTCGCCGAGGTGGGTGGTTTGAACCCACCCAGAGGCTCCTTGGCATAGCCCCTTCAGGAGCTTCAGCCAGCGGGGACACTGAGGACCACACCCTACTCTGGTACACACACGGTCACTGTGAGCAGGAGACCATGGCCAGCAGGTCTTTGAACTCTGAGCCAGGGCAGCCCTGGGACAGGGAAGGGATGCTGGGTGCTGCCTGGGTGCTGGCACTCGTCAAGGACCTCTCAGCAACAACAGAGTCCCAGGAAGGGCAAAGATTGTTCCTGGGGCACTGGCCACTGCAGGGGTGCAGAGTCACTTCTCACAGGGACCGTTCAAGAAAAGCCACTGCTCCAGAAGGTGCGCAGGGTGATGAGGGGGTGTCAGTGGTGCCTCTCCCAGGGGGCTTGGGTGGGGAGCCAGCCAGTCACCAGAACCCCTGGTATGCTTCACCCCTGCCAGGCGCCCTAGAAGTGAATAAAGTCAGTGGGGGAATGGAAACCAAGTAGGAATGCTTAGAGCTCACCTTTAGCTCCCAAAGGTACCTGGCAACACCATGAAGTCAAGATGCACAGAACACCTGGGTGACAAACAAGATGGCAAGCTGGTGAAGTGACATAGTGACAGACTGAAACTATAACTGAGACCCTGCCAGCACAAGGCACACACCAGACACAGACTAAAACCCAAGTCCAAGAAGGGCCATGCCCAGTGCCCGGGGACAGCCACTGCTCCTGACAGCATCATGCAGCCTAGCATTCCCACAACGCTTCCTGTGGTCCCGTGCCCATGACACACACCTGTCACACCAGAGGATGCAAAACACGGTCTATAAGGAGAATACAGGTCCTCCTTTTCACCAAATCCACAAATGAGGCACTGCCAACAAATTGAAGGGCTTCTGGCTCCCCTGCTCCCCAAAAGATACCACTCCAGCAGCAGATAGGCCAAAGTGTGTGGCGTAGGAGACCAAGGGCAGGGCAGGCCAGCTCTGCTGGGGGCACGCCCTTCACAGGTGCCTTGCAGGTACAGCAGACTCGGGGGGAAGTGAACTGGCGTCAACACTAGCCTCTCTGAGGTCCTACAGAGGCCCTGGTCCAATGCACACACTTTCTGAAGACGGAAGCTAGACGCCCTCTAGCTGGACGACTCTGAAGGACAGGGCAGCACCCCACACTGCCAGCGATCCACCTGTACACAGGCCACTCGGCACCGAGTCTTCTCACCCCGTGTTCTCAGCAAAACCAGCATGGGCTCCTCTCCCCACTCTTTCAAAGACCTACAGTCTCAAAACAAGGGGAACCCTACCTGGAAGGGACCAGAGCTTTCTGACTAATTTCAGAGTGGTGGCAGTCAATGATTCTAGTCACAATCAGACTAAATACCTATGACTAGGTTTTCAAGATGAGAAACCAACTCTGTCACCTGACGGCCTGCGCCGATAGCAACTGCTGGCACAGATGAGTCAACATGGCCCAGTGGCAGACCAGCCTCAGACTGTTTACCACAAAACACGGAGATTCTGCGTGACTCAACGTGTCCCACAGTGTGGACCAGACTCAGCCTTTTTGCCACGGAACATGGAGACTATGCACGAATCAACGTGTCCCAGTCGCGGACCAGCCTCAGACCCTTCACCACAGAACATGGAGACCCTGCGTGAGTCAATGTGTCCCATAGTCACAGATCACCTTGGAACAAGACAACCTGTGTGAGTCAATGGGCCTCACAGTTGTGGACCAGCCTCGGGCTCTTCACCACGGAACATGGAGACTGCGCACAAATCAACGTGTCCCAGTCATGGACCAGCCTCAGATCTTCACCACAGAAAGTGGAGACTCTGCGTGAAGTCAACATGCCCCACAGTCGTGGACCAGCCTTGAACTCTTCACCACAGAATGTGGAGAGACTCTGAGTGAATCAACGTGCCCCACGGTCACGGACCAGCCTCAGACTCTTCACCACAGAACGTGCAGACTTTACTGTGACACCAGTCGAGCCATGTCTGAGTCGAGCTAATAGGGTCACTTCTCCTTTCCTTGGGGGCTGGTACATAGTCTTCAAGTACCCAGAAAGGGGCCACATGCAAACGGTGACTGGGATTCAACACGTCCTGCCTAGCCCCCTACAATCACGGACTGCAGCAGCCTACCACCTCAGAACACAGAGCAGCCTGAGAGCAGAGGCCTTGGCACCCGGCCCCCATCTGTATCGGGCGCCCACCCTGGGTCCAGCGGGAGGCAGGCCCGAAGGATGAAGCAGGAAATACACCGACTGGGTGCCTGCCCCACCAAGCTTCAGCAGCAGGAGGAGGACACAGCTTTGTGAACAACGGGAAAGAAGAGCTCGATTATCCAATGGTCTGAATTCATCTTCTGAAAGCACAAAGCTGTCTGGCAAGCTCTCAGACCACAGGACAAGTTCCAAGTGTTTACTTTTTGATGTCTATGTAAATGTGGATAATGGGATGCCTTTCGGAACATACAGCTCAGATTAAGACTTTTACCAAAACTTGTTCTATAAATAAGATGTCCCCGCACACACCCCACAGACTTCTTGGGTATAAATATTTAAACAGCAGAATCCAAGTGTCTTTACTCAGCAGGCCAGTGTGGCAAAAGCATGGCCCCAGGCACCCTCACCGCACGTCATGGGGTTACCCTGACACCAAAAGCAGCTGGGGGCCACCCAAACAGGCCAGCCACAGGTCCTGGGTTCCCTCCCCGGTAAAAAGTAAAGGGGGGGTGCGCACAGTCTGTTGTTGTTGTTTGCTGTCGAAGTCGGACCCGACTCATAGCGACCCCTCCTTGCGTTTCCGAGGCAGTATCACTACGGAAGTAGATTGCCCCATCTTCCTTCCGAGGAGTGGCTGGTGGGTTTGAACCACCAGCCTTCTGGTTAGCAGTCAAGTGCCTTAGGCACTGCGCTACCAGAGCTCCCGTGCACAGTCTAGGCCCAGCCAAAGGCCCACCCGGAAGCCCTGCAGCAGAGGACAGTGGTTCCTGGCCCTCCCCGACAGGCACAGAGCCAGAGAACTGCCCAAGCCCAACAGCAGACCACGGTGACCCCGAAGTTAGTCCTCCATACACCAGCACAGGCCAGGCAGAGGTTCAAGTCCAGGAGATTAGGAATCGCTCAGTCCCAACATGCTCGCTCCGGAAATGCGGAAAACCCAGGGTGTTTTGGTTCCCAACCTCGGTCGATCCCCTCTCTCACCACACCGGCATGGGGATGGCCGTTTCTTTTTTTCATCCCAAACATCTGCTCAGGCCCGCCTCGAGTTCCAACAGCCAAACACCAGGCTCAGGGTAGAACTGTCCTCCGAATTTAACAGCCTCAGAGCTCTGGTGGCGCAGTGCCTGAGGCACTTGACTGCTAACCAAAAGGCTGGCGGTTCAAACCCATCAGTCACTCCTCAGAAGGAAGGTTGGGTAACCAACTTCCACAGTGACACTGCCTTGGAAACCCAAGGAGGGGTCGCTATGAGTCGGGTCCGACTCCACGGCACCGGATTGGCTTTTTTTTTTTTGATGTTTCCAGCATCTTGCCCTTCTGTGCCTTTATGCCGGTCACCTGTTTATTTCGGGGCCCCTCACCTGGGAGACGAGAGGCTCTGCCTCATTGCAGAGCCAACGCGCAAACAGAGCGCTGTCGAGGCCCTGCCTTCAGCCCCGGGAGACTAAGGTCACAGGCTGGAGAGATCCACGGAGGCCGGTCCTGCTGACTGACCAAAGCTGCCACCGCTGCAAAGTGCAGGAACGTAAGGGAAAGGGGCCGGAGGGCCGGGGGCAGACCGGGGACTGTCCCCACCCGCACACCCACTCGATCGCCCCGTGGACACAGCCCGGAGCCGCGGCCTGCGTTGACTCGAGGGCACTTGAAGGCCTGGGCTGAGCACACGCCCGACCCCACCCGGCGAGGCCGACCCCACCCGGCGAGGCCGCAAAAGCAGCGAAGCCCTGCCCCGGGCACAGGGTCGGCTGCACCACGCGGCCGAGCTTCCGGCACTCACGCCCGGCGCAGACCCTCCAGCCCAGGGCTGGCCCCCCAGGCCCTGCCC